TAGGGAAACTGAGACAAAAAGAGGCAAAGTCTGGGAGAGTGGGGATGACACAGTGTAAAAAATAAAAACTCTTCAACTCTTGAAGCACACACACAAACAGTACCTAATGCTTCAAAGACTTCAGGAAAATAACAGCATCAAGACATCATGTGATTAAGTTCACTCCAGTCAACCAATAAAAAGATTCCTCGTTCCCCTCCCCTTTTGCTCTGCTTTCTGATGGACTACTCACCATAAAATATAAAATGTATTTTGTGATAGGTTCTCAACAGGCTCTGGGTAATTTATCCATAGTAGTCTGTTGATTTCCACCTCTTTATGTCTTCAGGGGTCAAAAATAATGCCTCCTTTCCATAGGGTAAACAGGCGAGACCTCCCCACATCTCTGTATCCTTTATAATTCTCAGAACAGCCCACATTGTAGGTAGTGGGTATATTCTCATTTAAAAAAAAAAAAAAGGAATTAAAAGACACCTTCTTTTCTTTTGTAATATAAAAGCCTGAGGCCAGAAATTTTCCTTTAAAAATGTTTGACACACTCAGCTTCAAAGATAAAACATGAAGGAAAGCATTTCACAGACAAAAGTGATTTTGTTCAGCCTTCACAGTGTAGTATTCTGTGTAACTACAGAGATGCTAATGTGTTGATCTTGGGTGGGTCCTGGGAGTCAGTATTTAAAAGTGTCCAATATACGAGCAAAATGAAAAAGTCCTGAGCTAAGAAACTGCCCAATATTTTCCAAACCCAACTGTGCATCAAAATCACCTAGGATAGTGCTTCTCAAGCTGTACTGTGCACTCCAGTAGGCTGGAGATATTATTTAAATACAGATTGTGATTCAGTAAGTCTAAGTTGAAGCCAAGACTGCATTTCTAATAAGCTCCTGAGTGTTGCCAGTGCTGCTGGCTCACAGAGTATATTCTGAGTAAAGGCAAAGCCCTAGAATATTGGAAGAAATACTGATTCCTGAGTCCCACCTTTCGAGAGATTCTGATTCTGTTGGTTTTGCTTGGGCCCAACAATCTGCTTTTAATAAGCTTCCTAAATTGTTTCTGTTGCCCAGATGGATTTCAGAATTCCTGAAATAAATGGATAATATTGAAACTACATTGAATCAAACCCTGGGAACTAATTCTGGTTCTATCATTAACCCCTGTATGGCCTTAGGCAATTCTTTCCCCTCTGTACGTCTCACTTACCTCATCAAAAAAAGGATGGAGACGTTGATTTCTTAAGCACTTCCAAATCCCTAGGTTTGAGGAAACTCCCAGGACAATGCAATGGCCAAGAGGGGCCTTAGTCTGAGAACTACGATTCCCGCAATGCCCTGCGCTTCTCCTCTCTCACGTGGGGTTGTGGAGGGTGTTGCTAGTGGAAGCGTTCCCCACAATCCTTTGCGGTGGTTCAAGATGACGGCTCCCAGAGGTTCCGTGAGTGATTTGGAGAGCAGCAGCAGCAGCAGTGATGCGGAGGAACTGGCGCGGTGCCGCGAAGCGGCAATGCCTGCCTGGGGCTTGGAGCAGCGCTCGAGGGGGCTGGAGAAGCCAAGAGCCGGTAGGGGACTGTGTTCAGGCCGTCTAGCCGAAGGGCGTAGGCTCTTCCCTGGGGCCTTAGAGAATGGATGGTGAGGAAGGAGTCACTCAGACTCGATTTCTTTTCCCGAGAGAGCTCCAGGGACTGGATGGGGTTCAGAATGAAAACGCGGGCTGGTGCAGCAGTATGGATTGTTCCATTATCTCAGTCGGGGAATTTGAGGCACCTGAATGTCTCTTGACTGCTCCCTTTAGCCCATCTTCACTGCCGCACACTGGGCAGCCCGCCACTTCTCCGAAATGACTGAGACAGCCCCCTTTCTGAATTCTCGCATCCAGCCTTTCTCAGCCTGCAACACATTTTCACGCCCTGGGGCTGCCAGTGAGCTATGTCCAGCATAATTGACCGCGACTCCCTAGTTCCCTGGGAATAAGTCCAAAAATCCTTATCATAGGAGTACCTAGTCATAATCCAGAGGGTACGTGAATTTGGAATGGGAAAAATATTTCATCTTTTATTAACTTCTATCTGAAACTTAGCATCCTTTTTCATCTCGCATGCGAGCAACAAGCCACAAATAACTTTAGCGATACCCTTACTTTGGTCTAACAAAAGTCACAGATTTTCATATCCTATTATGGTCTTTGCAGATATATTAAAGTACTATTTTATTGACAATAAAATGTTGGAAAAAGTCATTTACACTCATCCCTGCTTTAAAATTACAATAACTTTTAGCCCCATCTCCAGATTTTGTTAAATGCATACCAAATTTGGCTTTTTACTATTATGGTAACTGAATTTTAGTATCATTGGTTTTCTTTGTAATCCTATGTGTTGTATTTTATGCATTTAAAACATTCTGAGAAGGGATCCAGGCTTTACCAGATTGCCAGAACAGACCATGGCAAAGCATGGGTAAAACCCCCTACTTTTTTTTAAAAGGACTACAAACCCTTTGGCAATCTAGTCCCTGCTGCCTCTCCTTTCTTGCCATCCTGCCACACTGCATTTCCCATAGGTAGGCTTCAGATCCTACTATACCCTCTCATCTCTGGGCACCATAACTGCAATATTCTCTTCATGTTTTATACACAGATCTGCCTTTTCATCTCCATCACTCGATAGTGGTGAGAATTTGGACAAGGTACTTAAATCTCACTGTACCCAAATTTCCTCAATTGTAAAGTTAGGATAAGGGTAGTACCCACCCCATCAGGTTGAGAAGTTAATGAGATGATGCATCTTTAGTGCTTGGCACATATTAAAGGCCCAGTAAATGACAGCAGTTACGTGGTTGGTTTCTACATGCACTGCTTCCCCCTCCTGCCTAACTCCCACTCATCCTTTAATAAAGCTGAGATACCACCTCTTCAGGAAAGCTGGGTTATATGCCTTGTGTCTGTCACCATCATACTTTGTGTGATTGCTTTCATAGGTGGTGGTTTCCTTTCTTCCTACAATTGTCTCTACTTTTTTTTTTTTTCCTTTTATTCCTGCATCCCCAGCACTTTGCGTCAACCCTGGCCCATACTTGCTCAACAAATACTTAGTGAGTGGAAGTTAAGTGATGTGAACTTCATAAAGGCTGGGATCTGACTTGTTCCCAGATCCCAGGCTTCATTTTTTTAATTTAAAAAATTAACTTTAGGGTAACGTGCACTTCGATAAAGGTATGCAACCTTTCATATCAAGACATCTTGCCAAGAACTGGAGCTATAAAGCTAAAAAGAGGCACACCACGTACTCCAGTAGCTCACAAATCCAGGAAGGGGCTGGACATGCAAACAAAGTGTCCGAAACAATATAAAACTTCACTATGGCCTCACACAAACTCTGGAAGGTTGTTGATTTTATTCTCATTTTACAGATGAGGAAAACAAAGGCTTGAGGAGGTAAAGTGACTTCCCAGGGTCACCCAGCTTGTCAGTGGAGGAGCCAGGGCTCAACTGAATTCTATCTTCTGGGAGCTGGGGTCTAATACTGCTTCTGTACCATGACAGTACCTCACATCCATTGCTCGGTGGTCATGATGGAAGAAATACTCCTCTCCCTTGTGATTGTAAGTTCAAGAAAAAGGAGTGAGTCTTTAAAGACTGTCTATCCCGGGGTTCCACATTACCCAACTCCAGGACCATCAAGCACTTTGCATTTTGGGTTGTGTTCCAGAGCACATGAACACAGACCACAGTGTAAACTGTGTTTCCTGGAATTGCTGACTACCATGGCCCTGCATTGGGCCCAGTTACCAAGTATCCATTTTATTCATTTAGCACCTTAAATCCACAAGCATACTTTGTCCCATTACTCAAGTCAAACCCTCATAGAGCCATCTTTCATTCATTTCTCACACCATCTAACCCATCAGCAAAGTCCTGTTGATTCTATCTTCAAAATACACATATCCAGAGTGCTGCCACTTCTCACCATCTCAGTTATTACAGTAATGTTCCTCTTTCTGGCCTTGCCCCACTACAGTCTATGTCTGTAGCCAGAGAAATTTTATAAAATCCTAAGTTCGTTTATGTCCCTCCATGCAGAATCCTCCAGTGGCTTCTCCCCTCCTTCAAGGCCCAGGCCTTCACATTGGCCCAGCAGGCCCTTTATCTGGTCCCCACAAGTTCCCCATTTCTGCTGCTCCCCCAGCCACATTGGCTTCCTTGCTGGCTCTAAAACACATCAGACAGGCTTCTGCCTCAGAGCCTTTGCAGATGATCTTTCCTCCATTTGACTCTTCCCTGTATATCCACTTAGCTTGTTCTCTTACTTCTCTCAAATCTCTGTTCACATGTCACCTGTTGGTGATGCCCTCCCCAGCCACCTTCATAAAATGATCGCCCAGCCAGCACTCCCTGCCTCCCTTTCTGCTTTGTTTTTGTCTGTATTTATCATTGTCTAATTTTATGTTTCAATCGTGTGTTTCTTTTGTCATCTGTCTCCACCAACTAGAGTGTAAGCTCCACGAGGGCCGGGATCTTTGTCTAAATTGTTTGGCCACTAGACCACCACCTGGGTAATGTTAGACCTTCAGTATTTGGTTGAGTGAATGACCAGGCCAGGCATCCCCAATGTCTTGACTTAAAAAATGTGATCAACATAACTGAGCCATCTTCTTCTCTGTCCTCTACAGCATTTAGCACACAGCCAGGCACTTAGCAGTCACTTAGTAAATACTAGAATAAAATTACACTTAAACTTGCCTGTTCAACATGGTGGTTAAGAGAGGGGCTGTGGAGCCAGTTGATCTTGTGTCCTTATTCTAACTGTTACTTATTAGCCGTTTGACTATGGCTAAGTTATATTACATTTCCTTGCCTCAGTTTCCTCTTCTGCGAAATGAGGATAATGGTGACCCCTCTTAATGGGGTTGTTGGGAAGATTCAGTGAGTTATTTCCTCTATAAATGCCTCAATTTTCATTATTTCCACAGATGCCTCAGATAATCAGTTGCTAACCACCCAGCCAAGCCTCAGGTACTGTGCACTTTGGGTTCAAGTTTCTTCCACTCCTTTAACAAATATTGACCTCCTGCTGTGTGCTAATACTAAGTTAGATTCTGGGACATCAGGGTGAACAAGGCACACGTAGTCCCTATCCTCATAGGGTGGCTTCTGAGCTGGCAGGAAGCAAGGTCCTTCTGTGTGTGTTGTAGGCATAAGGTGGATGAGCATGAACAAGATGGCAACGAGCTTCAGACCACCCCCGAATTCCGAGCCTACATAGCCAAGAAGCTGGGAGCCCTACTGGACAGGTAGCTGAAGTTTACCTTCTCTTCTGCCCTCATCAGTCTGAATAATAATGCTCACATTGATTGAGAGCTCACAGTGTAGGCACCCTGGAAAGCTCATTGCATTCATAAGCACCCCACCACATAGGTCCTATCTATCATCTTATTCTCTAGGTGAGGAAACAGAGGCTCTTCACAGGAAAAAACATTTGCATAAAGTCACAGGGAGTAAGGAGCAGAGCTGAGACTTGGACCCAAGTGTGTTTGAGTACAAAGGCCATGCTCTAGACCACTATGTTATCCTGCTACCATGAGAATAAGAGAAACCCCTAGAACTAGAACTCATTCCCACCACAGGAGGGCAAGGGACAAGCAGAATTACTGTTTTAGGGGTGCTTTACGTGTGCCAAGTATGGCACCAGTTCTCTTTCTTACATTTGAGAATACGATCTGTACAGATCCAGGTCAGTGTTCTTAAAGTAGGTGCCAAGGAATACAAGTCTAGAGTGTAGCTCTAGAATAAAGAGATCCAACAGCAAGGACATTGAGAAACACTGCAGTCTACATACCCCCATGTGCCCTTGGAGATTCAGCTTCATAATGCTATATTTAAGGCTCTGAGAAGTCCTATAGTAAAGAGACCTTTATACCTTTGTTCAGCCCACCGGTTTCCAGGGCCATTTGGCTACTTTCCCTTTGTTTCATGGAATATCAATAACATAACATAGCATGGAACACATTTTGGGATATGCTATTCTAGATCTATTCCTGATTGGCAGAGCAGGTTTTGAAAGGGAGGTGTAGATGTTCAGGCCCGAGTCCTTCAATTCAAAGTAGGCATCAAAAAGGACAAATGAGTCCTCCCAGAACATAACCAGCTGCTCTTCTGAGTCAGAACATGGAGCCAGACCTCAGTAGCCTGAACCACCACAGTATAGTGCCAGTCTCCCAACTTGAGAATGTGGGAAACATTTTTAGGAAGGTCAGCATTTCAACCTTTGAAAATGGTTTTCTTTCTTGACCGTTCTGCTCAGGGTAAGCAGGGCCCACCTGGTCCTGCAGCGATCCACACCAGATGTCTCCCCATGTGGAAATCCAACAAGATGCTGGTCAACTGTGGTCAGACTATTCCCTGCAGTGCTTTATGTTTCTCTCCAAAGAGTCTTAAATGGTACTCCAGTTAGTCCCTTTGTGAGATCAGGGTTTCTCAGCCTTGGCACTATTGACGTATTGGACTGGATCATTCTTGGTTGTGGGGGACCGTGCTGTGCTGTGCTGTGAAGGGTGGTTAGCAGCATCTCTGGTCTCCACCCATGAGGTCTTAGTTGCACCCCTGCAACCAGTTGTGACAGCCAAAAATGTCTCCAGACATTGCCTGATGTTCCCTACGGATTGACATCTAACCACTGTGATAGATACTTGTGTCAAGGTCAGGCGCCTGGGTGGCATCACCTCTGTTCCTTCCCAGACTGATTTCCTGTACAGGACTTTGGGAGATGCCTTTGGCACATGCAGAAGGCTGTTGGGAGAAAGCATTGCTCTATCTACTGTGAGGACATTGTCGAGAGCATTGTTCTCCCTGCCTGTATTCACCAGAGACACGCTTCCCGGTCTCAGCATTTCTCCCTGCTCTCTGTGCTTCTAGAGAGAGGGTTTGTTTTTATGTTGAGGGGTCCCGTGAAACTTACTGCTTTAAAGATGACAGTAATCATCTTCCTCATCATCATAGCTACCGTTTACTGAGTAGCTGCTTGTGTCAGGCTCTGCTAAGTGCTTGATATCCACTATCTCGTTTCATCCTGTCACAGCCTTAAAAGGTAAGGACCATTATCATTCCCAGTGTACAGATGGGTAACAGAGGCTAAGAGAGATGAAGTCACTTGCCAAAAGAGACACGGCTAGTAAGTGACAAGGCCAAGATTCAAAACCCAGGTCTCTGAAGTCTGGATAAGGTCAGTGGATGGTATCAGCATCAGTTTTCTGGTTATGATATTGTGCTACAGTTATGCACAGTGTTACCAAAGGGAGAAACTGGGCAAAAAGTGTGTGGAATCGCTTCGTATTATTTCTTAGAACTGCATGTAAATCTACAGTTATCTCAGAATTTTTAAAAATTTAAAAGTTAAAAAAAAAATAGGTCTGCCCTACTATATAAGCTGACCTCTGAACTCTTTATACTTGTCATGCCTCCTTTTTCATGCTTGCTGCCAGGAAGCTCAGAGCAAAATGTGTGCCTTCTTCCTTGCAAGTATGTAGGACTTCCTGATCATACTTTGACTCTTTCTATCCCTCCTGTATTTATTTTCTCTTTGCCCTATTTGAAATTGTATTCATTTTGCTGTACTATGAGTCTCTTTAAAAATTCTTTAGCATTTTCTGGAGTAAAGTGGGGCTTAAACAAATGGAGCATTGCACTTTGAGCTGGCAGTCACTTTTTAGCAGTTTATGGCTGTAGGTGTTAGCATGCTTATCAGGCCAGTGTGATGTCTGCTTTTGCATTTAAGATCACATGCCTCTCTCCCCTCTACTTAAAAAAAACTATTTTAATTAAAAATTTTTTTTTGTTATTACCCAGAATCTTATTCTAAATCAACCATCTTCTCTTCCTTAGCTCCATTACCATTTCAGAAGTCATGAAGGAGCCAACGAAGGCTGAGATACAGAAAGTCACCCCAGAGGATGATGGTGAGTAATTTATACTGTTAATATCAGCCTTCATTTAGTAAGCACCTACTGTATGTCTGGATATATTATCTATTATCTGTGCAGCCCACTATTGAGGCATACCCCCGTTTATAGGGGGAACTGTAAGGGAAGCTGAAGCTCCTCAGAAGTAAAGTCACTTGCCCAAGGTGACCTCGGCTCTAACCCTGAGCAGGAGCTCCTTACCGCTGTCCTCCACAGCCTCTTCTGTCTAAGTCTATCTGCCCCATGTCAAACTCATTTGCCACCTTGGAAGCCACCTCAGGCAGGAGGCTCAACTACTGACTTCCGGAAGCTGCTGAGGGTTTGCTGACCTGATTTGGCAGCTGGCGTTCCCCCAGCATCCCATCCTCTGGCTCTAGCCAGCATCAGGCGTGTCCCTCATCACACGAGGCATCGTTTGATGGTTAGATAAGAGCGATTCCTGGGTCTTCACCTCGGGATCAGGAGCTCCTTGAGCACAGAGTTAGCGCAGCCTTGGCAACTGGGAGGGGGGTCAGCACCTGGCAGCGCTGACTCCACCCCTTTGGATTTTAGGCTTCCGCCTTTTCTTCACATCCATCCCTGAAGGCCCTGCGAGGAAAGCTTCCCCCGAGCCCCGCCGAAAGCGATTGCCTTCCAGCTCCAGGTGAGATCGCACACCTCTCCTCAGGTTACCTCCTTTTTTCTCATTTTTTGTATTGGACAGTGTCCCAGCCAAGCAGATTGCAGTGAGGTCAGGCCAAGAAGGAGCCCTGCCAGATAGCTCAAGAAGTACCCACAGTGGGAGGGGGAAGAGGTCCTACTTGCGGTTGGCTTGGAATGTTTACTGCTTTTTGAGCACCTATCTTGTGCCAGACGCCTCAGTCCTCAGATGTTTCTATGAGGCCTGGGGTCGAGGAAGATCCCATCTGATAGATGAAGACACTGAAGGTCAGAGATGTTAAGTTGCTTAATGAGGTCACATAGCTAGGAAGTAGAAAAGCCAATATTGGAACCCAGGTCTGCTTCAAGCCCAAGCCTGAGCTCTCTGCCTGCCTCCTCCTGCAGTCTCTTTCTGGTGGCGTAGACTGAGGCAGTGAGAGGCAGCTTTGGGGCCTGTCCTGACTCCAGCTGACCCAAACTGCCCTTCCTTTGCAGCAGCGAGGAGAGCGACGAGGAGTGGCAGCGGTGCCGGGAAGCAGCTGTGTCAGCCTCCGACATTCTCCAGGAGTCTGCCATCCACGGCCCCGTCAGCGTGGAGAAGGAGGCAGAGAAGAAGAAAAAGAAGTCAAAAAAGAAAGCCAAGAAGGAGGCCAACGTGGACTTGGCCGCAGCCACCGCCACAAGCAAGGCCACAGTCAGCAAGCAGGAAAAGGAGTTGGCCAAGCTCAATGGAGAACAGGCATCACTTGGGACCAAAAAGAAGAAAAGGAAGAAAAAGGCAAAGAAGGCCAGTGAGGCCTCCCTGTTCCCACCAGCAAAGAGTGCAGCAGCTGTGCCCACAAACTGACCCCAGCCAGCGGTCACAGGGCACAAATAGCCCCAGCGACGAGGCATTTCCAGGACCTGCCTCCCTCTCCAAGTTCAAGGACTTGGCCAGCAAGTTCAGACTCTGCCCAAGGGTCTGATAGGGGCTTGCCGAAGGGTTAAGGCGAAGCCTTGGTTGTAGGGTGAGAAGCCTAAGCAAGGCCTGCCCTCCTATGCTCCCACTGGGTGCTGGGGCAGACCTGTAGTACCAGAACATTCCATGGCCTCAGGAAGAAGGGACCTTCCAGTTATTCAACACTGATGGCCAAGTGGTAAAGCTTCCATCACCCCATTACTGTCTGAAGAGAGCGGGTGAAGGGAAACCTTTTCCTTCTCCACATCCTCAGCCTGTTGTGGGAGATAATCTTAAGAAAATGAGGGAAGGGGTCCCCAAAGTGCCAAGGCCCAAAGAGCTTGTACTTCTCCCTTCATACCACACAGACTGGATATAACATTGAGAAAGAAAGAGATGTTTTTCTCTTGTTTTTCTTGTTCCACATTCGTAAACATACCACACAGGATCATATCTCTGAGCCAACCAGATTATCAAAAATAAATTGTCAGACCCAACACGTAACAAAGTGTTTTGGGTGCTGCCTCCTGGTCCATGCTGAATCTTGATGAGACATTTTAAATAAGCTTCACACAGGAGGAGTCCTCCTGGCTACCCCTCAAGATGAGTTCCTGCCTTCCAGTGTCAAGACTTCAGGAAGTGTTGTGGGCCAAGTTTCATGCATGGGGGCTATTTTGAAAAAAGGAGCAGAAGCTTTAGGTTAAGGTAAAATTCTGGCTTCATGGCTTTACCTCAGAGATTCGGCACAGCAAGGGGAACAGAAGTAGGGGATGAGAGTGCAAGTGCTGGACCCAGCTCTCAGGCCCCTGATGCCCCTCTGCCTGCCAAACCCCATCTGGGTGACATGCGGACAAGCAAGAAGTTTCCGATCACATTCCTTGTTTACTAAAAGTTAAATAAGGGTACAGGCTTGCCCTTAGCTGGCTGCAAGCTGCAGAGGATGTGGGTTCTCCCAGGCCCTTCCTCAGTCATGGGATGGTGGCGGTCTCTGAGGGCCAGGTTGTCTGTAGCAGTCTCAGGGAGATGAGGTCACAGGAGCCCCGGGTTTACACAGCTGCCTTGCCCCTCCTGGTGGTGTTCAGGGGCTCAGACTCCTCAGACTCCTGCATCTGCCCAGATCTCTCCCCATCCCTCAGCCAGCCAGGCCTCCAGGCTCCCAGGCATGTGTCCTGTCCACACAGGTGGCTTCTCTCTGCTGGTCTTGCCTCTTCTGCGTCAGGGCACCTCCACTCTGCCCGCTGCTCAGACCTTGCTGCCTTTTGAACTCAGCAGCTTCTCCTATAAACCAGGGACGGGTCTGCAGGGCCCTAGAGGCCAGAGGAGCTGCTTTTCTAGGACTTGGCACCAGGTGCAGAGTCGCGGGGCTCCCACAGGAGCAAGGTTGACTTCCTAAACTTGAGAGGGGCTTTTCAGAAGAGCAGGATGCCAGGCTGGCATCAGAAGGCTTGATTTTCAGGGGAACAAATGTTCCAGAAAACCGGAGGTCTCAGGGTTCAGGGAGATGGATGGCTCAGGATGAGAAGCTGGAGAGCCCTGATGCCCTTACTGTTAGCTTGAGTTCCCCCAGGATTGAGCATCTGAACCTCAGGCCCCGGAATAAAGTAGCCTCTTAGAGAATACCTATGTGAGTGGGTGACGGGTGGATACAAATGGGTATGTGGGCCAATAGCAGGAAGGGTGACAGGATGGAGTGGCCAGGGCAGGGCATAGGTGACAGAATGGGGCCACATTGATCTAGGGCCTTTCTTGGAGCTCAGTGCATCACAGCTACACAGGCTTGTGTCCTGAGAAGTGTGGCTGCCAGCATTCTCTTTGGGTTCTCCACAGGCCCAGGCTGTGCATACCAGAGTCCACAGCCTGCCTCCTTCTGTTTTAAGTAACAGGATTTACCTTGAGCAGCAAGGATAGTCCCTCCCATGTCCTGCCAGGAACAGGCTCTGCCTCCCAGCTTTTAAGGTCCCCTGCTTGTGCGCTAAAGCAGCTCTCCTCAGGTTGGGGCACCTCAGAAGCCCCACTCTCTGGCGCTGGCAGAGCAGAATGGGGACCGAAGCGGTTTTCTGGAGGGGCAGCAGATCCTTGGCACTAAAGTTTTGCAGGCTCAGATATTTTGGTCACCCCCACAAGCAGGCCATGCAGGCTTCAGGTCCCAGCCAATGGGAGGCAGTTGCCATGGTTACTGGGAGGAGGAGGCCATCTGCGTAGAGATGAAGGTCTCAATGACACTGTGGTTGGATGGCAGCAAGTGACTGTGGCCATTGGTGGATTCGGAGCTCTGATACAACACCAGGCTGCTGGAGGACACTGCAGAGACAAAGGAAGCTGCTGGCTGCCCACAAAGCCCATCCTGACCCCTCCCTACCCACCCCTAGGGGTACTCAGGACAGAGGAGGCAAGGCCTCGACTTATTAACCCATGGCCAGACTCTGGGTTCACTCAGGGAGTGGCCTCAGGATGTTTTAACGGGAACATTAGAGAAGCCCCGACGAGGTGGTGAGGTGGCTGGTTTTATCTGTCATCTTGGCTAGGCTGCAGCACCCAGTCATTGAAACAAACACTAATCAAAGTGTTGCTGTGAAAGTATCTTATAGTTGTGGTTAACACCTCCAATCAGTTGACTTTAAGTAAAGGAGATTTCCCTTGATAATATAGGTGCCACTGGCATTTTCCCATTGTGCCTGACACATGTTCAAGCCCCTCACCGACAGCATAGATCTGACACTCTGACGCCTCTCAGAGGTTGAGGGTATTGACTTTAAGTAAAGGAGATTTCCCTTGATAATATAGGTGGGCCTCATCTAATCAGTTGAAGGCCTTAAGAGCAAAAGCTGAGATTTTCTAAAAAAGGAATTCTGCAGCATTAACTCCTGCTTGCATTGCCAGCCTGCTGGCCTGCCCTGCAGCTTTCGGATTTGCTGGCCCCTACCGTCATGCAAGTCAATTTCTTTTAATATGTACATATTTCTATTGGTTATGTGTCCCTGGAGAAGCCTGATTGATTCAGATGGTTAAGAGAATGGGCTTTGATTTTGGACCTGGGTTCAGGTCCTGGCCCTGCCACCTAGTAGCTGTCGGAGGCAAGGCCAAATCCCTCACTTCCTTGAGTGTCTACTTTCTCATCTGTAAAATGGGGATGATGACATGTGCCTCACAGGTACAGTGTGGAGCCCTCAGTAACAGGGCTGGATGGAGGAATCCGAGGTTCACGGAGTGGGAGCAACTTGCCCAAAGTCGCGCACTAAGCAAGTGGCCACCCCAGGCCTCAAAGCCCAACAGCCTAACTCCAAAGTGCCTGCTCTTCACCATGACCTTGCAGGTTGCACACATGGGTCATGGGATGGAAGTAAATGGGTCGAGTGGGAAATGGTGGCCTGAAGAGCTTACTCTCTGTTGTTGCTACATGGAAACATGAGTTCTTCCAATTTTCCAAGCCAGAAATCTGGATTTCTTTGTGAAAGCTCCTGATTTTTATAAGTTGGCAATGATTCAAAGAACGCTAAGCCCAGAGCCAAACCAACACATCCATGAGCCACTTCTGGCCCACAACCAGCCCAATTTACTCCTCAGTATCACCCACTACTACTTCCTCCCATGACTTAATCTTTTCCTCAACCAAGTCAATGAGATGTTCCTGTAAGATGTGCCCATTTTCCTGTGGTTTCGCACTTCTCTTAGCTCACTTCAGGGGAACATAGAGTGCCCTCCAAAACCTGCCTCATGCCCCCTCGCATTTGCCCACTGTCTGCTGCACACAAGAAAGAAGTGGCAGGGAAAGGCCGCTCACCTGTGGGGCTGGCACTGAGCCGATGGGAAGGCTGCAGGTGCTGAATGCCAGCAGGGTCCTGGCTGGGGATGTGGATGGTGGTGGCCTGAGATGCTGGCGTGTGAAGCCCGGACTCACTGGAAGCCTCGTTGTCTGAGGTGAAGACCTGGGGAAACAGAGCAGCCTCCTGAGCCCCCAGGGAGTGCTCTGGGGAGGGGCCAGGGCAGGCCTGGGCCTTACCTGCTTGGTGGGTGTGAGGCTGGCCAGGGCGCTTAGGTTGGTGGTGTCGGTGATGAGCATGGTCTGCGGAAGCAGGCCTGTGTGGGTGTACTGGGCCACCTCAGGCTTGTGGCTGTAGAGGGCTGGACAGGAGGAAGGAGACAGAGGTGGATACAGACATGGCACCCTGGGCCATGCTGGACCCCTCCCGGGAGGGCCTCAAGGCTAGGTGCTCTGGGTGAAGTGGGGTGTGAGACCCTCTCCTTAACTACAGGGACCTGCTCTGCTTGGCTTGGTAGAGAGAAGCCTGGGGGAGACCAGGAACCCAAACCCAGCTCCCATCACCTGGACACAACAGGTGTGAAAGGGAGCGCGAGGCACAGGTGCTCTTGTATTAAGTACAGACTTTGGAGGCCAACATATCTCCACCTCTGGGACACCTCTCTGAAATGTAACCTCAAGTTTCAGCCACCCCCACAAAAAGCGCAGGTACCAGCAGAAAAACACATTCTTACATTGACTCAGATAAACCATAACCACCCATATATACAAACACATGCACTCAACCAAATGCACACAGATACATTTACAGGTCTATAATCTCCTATCCCCAATTCTAAATTCCAGAAAGGTCTCAAAACCAGTAGGTTTTGTAAGGTTGGCACTAGAGCTCATTTGGTGGCAAAATGTGACCTGAGCCTGATTGAGGTTAAGTATTAACCTACTTGGCGGAATTCTACCTTTTACTGCAGAAATTGTAATGCTTGATGACAGAGTTGCCCCAAACCCTGCTGGGAGTGTTATGTAATCTATGGTATGTCCACCATATTACCTTTGAAAAATCTGAAAATAGTCAATTCTGAAGTACATATGGCCCCAAGGGTTCAGCGAAAGACAAACCTGTATTCCCACACGCTGGCCTGTACATGCAGACACCCAGATGTGTATCCACTCAAACTCAGACATGTGCACACACTCACAGTCACATGTATTCACACTCTGAAACACATTCTGGCCATAGACACTCATCCAAGCACCCACGGTCCCCCTCTTCATCACAGAAACACTTGTACCAGACACACACACGGAGACCACAGTATCTGCTAGGCCACCCTGTCCCCCTGTGCTCACCATGGGGGCTCTGCAGCTGGGCCATGGTGGCCATGAAGGGGTTCTGGGCCATGTGACTCTGCACAGGGGGCATGAGTGGCTGCTGGTAGGAAGGGTGCAGTGGCTGGGAGAACTGGACCGGCTGCAGGGTGGTCAGGCTGCTGCCCATGCTGTTGATGACGGGCACGCTCTGTGCCTGCGTGGAAGCCAGGCCTGGAGTAGGAGGGACAGCAGTGAGCCAGGCCTCCTACCACCTCCACTGCCTCCCAGGACCCCTGGGGACACCGTTCCTCCCTCCCAGAGCCAGT